TTTTGTACTACATTCGTCTGGTTAGGCGTTAGCGTACCCAGGGGAGTATGTTATCTATGATCGTTACTTTGAGTTTCCTGTCTGCAGCTTGCTTGTAGCTTCAATTGCGCGGTGCTCCAGCCTTACTGATAGTGCAGCGGAGAGAGCCGCGAAATCGTTCAAAAAATTTTTTCGGAGTAGAAAGAATTGGGACCCACACCATTTTGTTCAGAAATGTTTGAACCTTCAGAATCTCGCTTTACGACATTTTCCCGTGGTCCTGACAAAAGTTATAGGCCGCTAAAGTTGAATTTTACTCATTTTCGCGCGCGCGACTAGACCACCGAAAGTATTTATTTTCTCAGTAACTAAGCGATATACATCAATAATTCCTTTTGTAAAATGAAAGTACATTTATAGCAGAATCTAAAGCATTCAATTTACCTACCTTGTTATGGACAGTTTTTAGAAAAATGACCGTCAACTTCCAAAATTCGTGTAGCAGATGAAAAGTGCGCACTTTGAACTCTCATAACTTTTTATTTCACGATATCGATTTCCAATATTTATAGCTCATTCGATGCTCCAAAGCATTGTGATTATTTTATTTTCTATAACATTACCGTGAATTTTTCATAATAAAAAAGTTACGGTCATTTAAGTAAAAACCTACCGACCTCGCCGAGTCGGTAATCGCGAGTGAGACGGAGAGGGAAGGATAGTCAGCAGCGTTCGCTAAACAAGGAGCGATGCGTAAGAGATTTTACTTTACTAAGAAATTTCTCTCCGAATACCAAAACTAGCTATTTAGGCCGTTTAGTTTACAAATGCATTCCGCCGAGTTGCATTGTAAAATCTCAAACAAAACTCCATGTATCTCAGTTCTTTGGTGAAATATATAGGTACAAATAGGTACCTTTCCCTGTAAATTTTGGGGGTTACTCCACATCAGGTATCTCTTGTGCTGTGCTGTATATTGCAAGATCAGCAGTAACAACGGTATGATTTTGTCCCAAAGATTCAGGCTTGTTTTTTGATTTCACTAGACGATGGTTAGGATGGTATTGTAGCTCGCTGGTGGAGAATTCAAAAACGGCATAGGTATATTATATTGAATGGTAGATACCGGAACTTACTTAGGAGGATTATCAGCAGGTACTTAGGCTGTTAAAGTCAGTTATCTGGTCGTTATCTAGTGATAGGTAAACGAGGAATTTGGATTTCTTCTGTCGATGTATCTCGCTTTTGAAAAAAGACTGTGCGTTGAATTTTTTTCGTCTGTTTCCACAGAATATGGCCTACTTATTCTTATTCTGTGACTGTTTCCTCATTGATGTCGAAGTTGCTCGCTGTGATAAAATTATCATTTTTTATTTGACAAATTTTTGTGAAATGTAGGTAGACACCCTTAGCAGAACATGTAATATTGACGTTTACTGTACTTAGTTATGCCACTGTCGGAGAACATTTTCTGACCCGAAAGACCAATTTGCAAATGAGTGTAACTTTTGTTTGAAAAATGACCTTAAAAAAACTGTTCAATAATTTTGTTCCGTAAGTATGTACCTAGACAACAAACTTCGTGGAATTTTGTCAATTTTCGTTGTCCAGCCAAGAATTGCAGTGGAATTATTTTTTCGAATTTTCAAAAACTAATTTCAGATTCAAAAACCACCAGATACCAAATTTCGTCGAAATCAACATTTTTTCGCACCCCTATTGAGGGGTGTGTCCTTTTGCAGTAGGAATTTTGAAAAATTATTTGCAAAACCGGAAAGGGCATCCAGCAAAACCTATTCAAAGACTTACCACCAGTCTCTGTAACTGTTGCTGAGAAAAAAAGAAACTTTACCACTTTTTTGAGGGTGGCTCCTAAACGAATACATGGATTTTGTGTGTGTTTGGATCCATCGTTCCTCGAAATGGGGGTTGAAATATATTGTGTGATCAAAACTCTCTAAACCTTCCCCATATAGTTTTTATTCGTTGAAGTTTTTAAAAATAAAAGCGACTATAGCTTCGGCGTACTGCCATCATCAGGCGATGTGAAATTTAACAGGAAAACAAACGTTGAAGACGAATAAGACGAACATGTTGTTTTTTAATTATTAACTGGCCGAAGCCAAGTGAAAAAACCTGAAGGGTGGCTAAACCGGAAAGGTTGTCCTAAGTTTCAAAACGAATTATTATCAAGCCTTGTTAAGAAGACAACCAACCGGAGGGTTGAATTATTACATTAAAAGTTGAAAGTTGAATTTAACACATTTCAAAAGAACCGGGGGGAAAAAATAAACTCATAAAAGTTTTGAAACTATTGAGCTGACTTAAATTTAAATTATTTAAATTTTAAATAATTATTTAAATTATTTAAGTTAAGTTTAAATTCGAGATCATGCAGACGGCATGTCTAGAAATGATTGACCACCAGGTTTACCTATCACTAGATAACGACCACATAACTGACTTTAACAGCCTAAGTACCTGCTGATAATCCTCCTAAGTAAGTTCCGGTATCTACCATTCAATATAATATACCTATGCCGTTTTTGAATTCTCCACCACCGAGCTACAATACCATCCTAACCATCGTCTAGTGAAATCAAAAAACAAGCCTGAATCTTTGGGACAAAATCATACCGTTGTTACTGCTGATCTTGCAATATACAGCACAGCACAAGAGATACCTAATGTGGAGTAACCTCCAAAATTTACAGGGAAAGGTACCTATTTGTACCTATATATTTCACCAAAGAACTGAGATACATGGAGTTAATGAATTGTTTGAGATTTTACAATGCAACTCGGCGGAATGCATTTGTAAACGGCCTAAATAGCTAGTTTTGGTATTCGGAGAGAAATTTCTTAGTAAAGTAAAATCTCTTACGCATCGCTCCTTGTTTAGCGAACGCTGCTGACTATCCTTCCCTCTCCATCTCACTCGCGATTACCGACTCGGCGAGGTCGGTAGGTTTTTACTTAAATGACCGTAACTTTTTTATTATGAAAAATTCACGGTAATGTTATAGAAAATAAAATAATCACAATGCTTTGGAGCATCGAATGAGCTATAAATATTGGAAATCGATATCGTGAAATAAAAAGTTATGAGAGTTCAAAGTGCGCACTTTTCATCTGTTACACGAATTATGGAAGTTGACGGTCATTTTTCTAAAAACTGTCCATAACAAGGTAGGTAAATTGAATGCTTTAGATTCTGCTATAAATGTACTTTCATTTTACAAAAGGAATTATTGATGTATATCGCTTAGTTACTGAGAAAATAAATACTTTCGGTGGTCTAGTCGCGCGCGCGAAAATGAGTAAAATTCAACTTTAGCGGCCTATAACTTTTATCAGGACCACGGGAAAATGTCGTAAAGCGAGATTCTGAAGGTTCAAACATTTCTGAACCAAATGGTGTGGGTCCCAATTCTTTCTACTCTGAAAAAAAAAAACTACCTCAAATAAGCGAGTTAGCGCCGGCTCTCCGCTGCACTATGAGACCCGCCTATGATTTTTTGACCCATGTGGGCCAGCCTGGCCTTGTTTCTGCTCTTCTGCTCATCACCGGAGATGCGATTGCGTGGTTTGGTGTGTTGTTGAGGCTCAGTGACCTGTGAAATAGGTTGAGGGGTATCCTGGAACGCTCCTTCTGGTAACTTTTTTCTCGTTTTTTAAGTGGCTAACTGTCGGGTCTCTGTTGTAGAAGTTTAATATACGAATTTTAACCTACAAAAGAAACTACAGTTCAGCCCTTAATTATATCCTACTTGAAAAATAAACGATGAACGATGATGTGGTGTATTTACAATTCAAAGTAAATTAACGATCTTCTACTTTCAAGTAAAGATAACAAATTCCAAGTACCTACGAGCTGTTTACCTACAGTAAATATACTCATTGGTGTAGTTGATGATCATAGTGAAGGATACGCGTAATCTCGATTATAAAAAAATATTTGCTGTTTATGTATACGTAACTGCGTGCACTTTATTAGCAACAATTTTATTAATTATAACTGGGCGGTATTCCTCTTACTTTGTAATATGGCAAGTACCCTTATTTGGGCGCTCCACTGTTTTATATAACTTTCTCATCCCATCGAACAAAATTATTGCAAGCGTTGGTCAATTCCAGTGTTCTAAACAAATGCATGTGGCCTTACTGTGCCCTTTGTCCTAATTTACTAACTAAGGGGCTGTAGATCGAAGCACATCGAGATTGGGTTGTGGGCATAGTAGAGCGAAGGCATAAAGATCATCTCCACCAGTGCATGGGTACTGCCACCATTTAAGTAATTGGTATCCCGACTTGATAATCAATTGCTATCTTAAATTTAAAAATCAAAACGTGTTTTCACCAGACCTAGAGAGATCCAAATTCTGTAAAAATTTATAATTTATTCACAGATGTGTGACTATTATTTTTATCCTTTTTTAACTGTTTCTGAAATCCAGTGTGTCATTATGGTATGGAAACAGGAAAACTCTATGTTGTGTACTGTAAAACAATGGTAAATCTAAATTAGGTTGACATTCTTTGATACAACCTGCCAAATGCGCAATGCACAAACTAAATGAGAAAAATAAATGTTGTGGATATGTGTTACTAATTAGTGTATTAATTGTGTCATTCATTCTACTAAATAACTACATGTGGTGCACCAGGATTCGGCAACTACTCCATTGTATCAACACTGTCAACTTGATTCAACTGTCGCTCTTGACCTCGTCACCCTTTTGTAAGTTATAAAGGAAATGTTACTAATAACACAAGAAGCATAAAATACAGCATCTTTAAAAGCATGCAAACCCTCTAATCTCAAAGACACTTTTCTTTGTCTTTATGCGATTAAGACAAAAATCTAATATTATATCTGTTATTAATAATCTTTCTTATTGTTAGTATTCATAACAGTGCATGTTTGCGGATGCAAAGTGAAATGTACATTTTCTCTTGTGTCCATTTGTTGATTGCAACACTTAGTTACTAACTTAAATTACAAGATGCAGGTATTACAGAGGAATTCTCAATGGGTTACTTGTTGTTTGTTGTTGTGTTGTCAGCCTGGTAGCACAGTCTGCCAGTATAATTAAATAGCTTCTTTCATACAGGGTTGCAATATCCCATTCCTCATTCCAGCGATACGAATATGCTTTTGTTAACACATCAAGTTTATCTCGTCACATATTTGGTTTTAATTTCATTATCTGGACACATTTACTCTTATCATCTGCTTTTGTACGTCATTTCTGTTGCTATTTATCGTTAGATAATTCTTTAATTCCAGTTAAAATAGGACATTATTTCCTTAATTATATTCAACTTTTTGCATGCCTATATTTGGAATTTTTGTTATTCGTTTAAGGTTTATTTTATTTATGTAGTGGGATAATATTGACTTTCTAATCGATCACTACCTCCTCGGTTCCAGTTGATTTTGTTGCTTGATTGCTTTTGCATGTAGCTTTTTAAGATTCCTTCATTTCCAAGTAATTCATTGTTTTACTCAGTTTTAAACGTACCTAAGGTATTAGTTTTATTTTTGTTATATATTTTGAATTTTTCAATTTTATAGCTAACGAACATTTATAAAGTGAATTTTTTAAGGATGCTGATGTTTTACAATCTACCCACTAGAAAATTCAATTTTTCAATCCTCTCAATTTGTACAGGATGGTATCGGTGAGAGATACAGTGTAGGGTAACATTTTTGTGACTTTAAAATACGCATTTGAAGTTTTTGAAAAATCTTTGAAAAGTACAGAGCTATCTCCAAAAAACTGAAAATGACAGATTTTGTTCTTATTTTATCTATCTGAAACCGTCGGAAATGAACGGTTCCTGCTAGCACCGTCTGAGGGCACTTTCTTCTGGAGAATCTGAATCTGTTAGAATTATCCATTGACATGCTAGTTTTTGAAGCTCTTATTTTTTATGGGCGCCATGTTGGATTTTCACAAAATGAGATAGAAAACAAATAAAGAAAAATGAAAAAAAGGTTTTCGCTTTAAGGCGCATTTTCCATGAATTGATCATTACTTCCCAAAAGCTCATGTATCTATAAATTAGTTGACATCGCGCCGTTTGAGCATGCGCACATCTGATTTTTACAATATGCGATATGCTTGCCTTTACTAGAATCATCTCTGTTAATATTTAAAAATACATGTCTCTATAAATAAGAAAGATGACTTTGCGCATGCGCACATTTAATTTTTAGAATATACGATATTATGCTTGTTTTGACATCTCTGGTTAAAATTTCAAAAAATCTATAAGAAATATGAGTTTGCGTATGCGCACATTTGAATTTTACAGTATGCGATATGCTTGTCTTTACTAGAAGCATCTGTGCTCATAATTTCAAAAAAATATCTCCAGATTGTTCTTGGTTGTGGTGCCGGATCTATAAGTTACTGAATGCAAAGCCAGAACAGCGCCTTTCCACATGAGTTGGAAAACGTGCTAGACAAATAATAACGTGTCGCGCTCTTACATTTACATAAATTTACAAGAAAAATTTCAATAAATCAACTGTTTTGACATTCATTTCTCAACAAAACATCCACAAATAACTAGATCAACATAGCTTTGATGGCGATGCATTCAAATGAATTCCTTTTTTTGTCCCTCGTCTCATTCCATAAAAATCCAATATGGCGTCCATAAGAAATAAGAAGTATAATAGTGGAAATTATGAAAACCGAATCTGATTCTCCAAAAAAGTGCCCATAGAAGGTGCTAACGGAAACCGTCCATATCCGACCGTTTAAGCTAGGGAAAAAATTTCAAATGCGTTTTTTTAGTTACAAAAGGGGCAACTTTACCACCGTTGGACATCACTGTATCTCCCACCGTTATAGAAATCCCAATGGTGAGCTACGAATTTGAACTACCCTGTACTGTAGTGATTCAAGAAATGTGGCAAACTAGTGAATTCATAAATAAGTTTATAAGCGCAAACTTTTGAACCTTATCAAGATGTTAAAATCATGTTAAGAGAGGTAAAAATCATTGTTATGATCAATAGTACCTATTTTGTTATGTAAGTCATAGATTAATTGCAAAAATTTGTAAACAGCCATGGTTGCGATATGCTCTGTATGCGGTGATGTTTTAATACTTCCATTTTTGTACAGAGCTTAACATACTTTTACCTGATCTATAAAAGGTGCATTTCCCCACTCTGTTTTCTTCTTAACCTTTTTCTAGTTTCTTTTACTACCACTCACTCTGTCTTTTACTTCTTTGATAACTTTATGCTGTTAATACTCAAGCAACCGTCGTGCTATAACAAACTCTCTTTTCCACTAACCACTCGGTAGTGACAGTAAGTAAAATAAGTTTGCTAAAATCTAACTAAAATCGTACAACCTCTCGCATTGTTTTCCTATACCTATGTGATCCTGTATGGCAAACTGCATGGCTCATATTTTGAAATGGAAAAAAATAATTGCGGAGCCGATAGAGGTTAGGGATAGGTTAGGTGACTGGCGATGTGTCACCAGGCTGAACGAGGCGGATCTGCCCAGATGGCTGATTCAGCCCGGGAGGAGGAACAAGTTACACTACTAGGTGAAGAGGGCCTCCGAGCCGGAGGACAGGCCCTCAAACTAGGGTAATAGTCTTTCATTGATTTTATCGTTACTTTTAGTGCTTAATATACCCTGTCAAATCAATTTATTTAAATAACTTTGTTTAAAAAAGGTAGGGTAGATTAAGCATTTAATTTATTGTTAAAATATGTTCGAGAACTGTGCTGAGCCAACAACAGACCTCTTCTTACAGCACTTTTACTTTATGGTAAACACAAAACATCCACAGGACTACACTAAGGCAAGCACATGTTAACTTAGCCCAATGCCGTTTGTAGCGCGGCTGTCACCTTACATTGTACATTACATTGTCATAGATTAAATGTTAATTTTTGTTTAAAAATGAATGATCAACTGTGACAACCAGAAGGTACATTAGAAACACAACTTTTACCTATGCTATTTTTGTGTGGAGGTACTAATGTAAAAAAATATACATTTGTATTGGGTATGGTTTCAAATACAAATGCATATTATTGTGTGCATGCGCATAAACGCTTCATTCACTTTGCACTATAGATATACACAGTACATACTGCTTAACTCGTAGGGTTGTAGTGGCTGCTCTAAGGTAAAGTATCGTATTATAGTTGCTATTGTGCTAGTATGATTTGGTTTAGAATAAGCTTAGTTGTGTCTATATTACTGATCTGTCCAAGTCCACATACAGTGCAATGACCTTGCATATGGAAACCTACTTACATTTGAAACGACCTGCATTTATAATAGATGTTGTTAAATATTGGACTTGCACTATAGGTAAGGTTTAACTAAAAAATGCAGTAGTTTCAAATGCGTTTGTGGCAAATGGTGCATTGGGTTTGCTAATGTGTTGTGTTGTTAAGCAGCACGAGGGGGGTGTAAACCCTACTGAATCTATGACCCGGGCCCTCATTAGTGACGACTCTATAGCTCGCCAAGGCAACCTCGGCTCCGTACAGCTGGGGTACGTATCACTTT